ACTTGCACGACCAGGGACCGGCATTCCTTGCTTTGCAGACCTCAGACGATTCATATCCTTTCTTGGCGGGGATCTCTTCTTCTTTCTTGGAGTCTCGTGCGTTCCCCCCCTCCCCAGTCCAGCCTTTCGACCCTTCAACCCTTCCCACATAGTACTCACCCCCGGAGCCTATCTTTCTGTAAACGTGCGTTCGATGCTACTCATGCCTGGGAAATCGCACGCTACGCCGCTAAACCAGCCCATGGCCGTTCCCAGTGTCGCGGCGGTGGGAAATTTGGTTGGCTCGTCTTCCAAGTTTCCCACAACGAACCCGTCACGACGGAGAGTCCGTCGACTACCAGGTTAGCGCGTCCCCTCCGAATGGTACCGGCGACGGACGGCAGGAAACTCTGTCCATGTCCCACGCCCATCCCACGAGCGCCGCACTGCTTGCGTAAGGTAGTGTCGTACCATGGTGTTCGCAGAGTGTGTGAAGGTAGTGTAGAGTATACGCTGGATGCTCAGGCAATTTGCCATGTAGACGGGGACTCCCTTCTTTTGGGGATGGTTCAACCGCTCAACCGAGACGTGAGCGCCTTCGTCTTAGTCGACAACCTATTGGCCCGTTGAACTTTGTCTTCAGCGGCGCTCGCACCACATTCTACACCGCACGTCTTGCTTCCTCTCTTTCCCACTCCCCCGGTGTGCGGTGTGCAAAGGTCAGAGGGGGAGAGATGATGGCCACACGTTGTGTTTCAAAGCCTTTCATCTGATCGATGAGCAACCTTACACTCTAACCCACAACACGCCGAAGTACAGCCTTGCTGCCCAGGCCTGAGCCAAAAAATCTGAAGGAAAAGAGTCCCGGGCCGCTGGCAGGCCGCTGCTTGTCAGTTTGAGCCCAGCGGTAAGAGGAATGACGACCGGTTCAGACGGACGAGCCAGTCCGCCATTGCAGATTCCAACTCAATGCTGCGATGACACTCCCTTCCCCCCCCTTCCCCAGCGTCCACCATCTTCCCGGCAGCAAGCCACATTGCTGAAACAGTCAGATGAAGGACAGGCTGGGCTGTTGTTGTAGTTGCGCTTTAGGTTACCTCGCTTATTTCTACACTATACAAAAGCGCAACACTAGAGACGTCAGTGTTTGAGCCTCGCCAAGCGAAGAGAAAAAAGAAGACACAGACTTGGACTTGTGGGTTCCTCTAATTTTCCCTCACTGCTAGATGCCGTCTGCGACGTCCATCTCGTCTGCTCGCCGCTCGGACGGCAGCATTTCCTGGGAATGACACCTAACGTTTCCCGCTGCGACGCCACTGCGCTAGTGAGAAGTGACAATCGCAGAAGCAACCGTCCACAAGGCGATGGGACCGTCTTAACGGACAGAGGACGTCTGAAAGAGCCTGGAAAGGGAGGATGAGGACGAACGAGTATCCAATCTCCATCCCTGCAACGGGGTCAAAGAGAAGATCAACCAAGACATCCCAACTATCCGCAATCATCCCGAATAACCCATCGTGGTTTGCTTCTCATCTCCCCTTTCCCTTCTGTGCTGCTCTCCCTACGGAGAACTCCCCGGGCGATCCCAAAGATCATCTTGATCAACATGATCAACCACCTATTCCGAACAGCTGCCGACGGCCTGGACCCTTTTCCCTTCCCCCTCTCGGCCCCTCCCCTCCCTATCTCTTCGCAGATTTACATACAGACGGCAGCGGGTTGCTGCCCGCTGCCGATTTGACTGTCAGGCTAGCCAACTGCCGAAGGATTCACGGTGTCTTTGGTAGTCCCTGGAGAAATTCCCTCACAAAAGCCACTAGTAGTAGGAATAGAAAAAAACGATAGAGAAGGCGGCAGAGCCACCACGGCCCGACTGTGCATAGCGAATCCGAGACTCCAAAGGGCTAGTGATCGTCAACGTCGCAGACGGCCCAACATCCTTACGTACGCATCCCGAATACTACCAGTATTGTCACTTGAGAAGTTCGAAATTGGGCACGGCGGCCATGGTCGAGCCATTCCGCATGGTTTCTTGGAAACCCCTACGCTGTAACTCCGTCTGCTCCGCATTCTGACCTCCAAGTTACAGAATGAAGAAGATACGTCAAAGTCGTGGAGCTAGATCTCGAGAAAAACGTGGCAGATAATATCTGTAGGTTCGAAGAAGGATAGCATTAAGAGACGGCTATTGCGGCTACAATGACCACGAGGCAGACAAGGCTCTATCATGTAACCAGACCAGACGAGAGCCAATTGCAAAGAACGTCTCAAAGTTGGCCTTGGTATCCAATCCAAACCGTGGTCGTAGAAAAGCCCAGATGCGATGGAACTCTACAGATACGTATCGCTTCCCCCTCCAAGGAAGAGAAAGACACCCTCGTCCACGTCTGTGACAACCCTCCCGTTTCAGGTGGCTTGGGGAGGTTGGGGGGAGAACTGAGAGGGGAAGGGTAGTGTAAGGTAGGGTAGGGGGGCGTGTGTGGTGTGCGTAGAAGAAGCTGGGCTGGGCTGGGTTTTGCGGCAACGTCGCCTTCACTCTGAATCTTGACAAGCGGGATCGCGGACGCCGGTGCGAACTCTGTAAGCTTCATGACCACCACCAAAAGTCACCTTGTACAATCATCATCACCAAGCAGCAGCGCTGGGAGCACCCGTGGAGATGTGCCGTGTGTCGTCCAGTGTTCGCTTCAGCTTCCAACGTCGCCCGAGTGTCTCTCATGTCGGTGGTTTACTAACAGCTTTGTCAACCAACCCAGCCCACCCGTAAACTCTTTTTTCACGTTTCGTTTCCCCCTCCTCCATGTCTCTGCCTGCTTTCCTTTCTTCTTTTCCGGCGTTTGCTCAACCAGAAAGAAAATATAGCCCCGAGACAGGACAATTCCATTGTTCAATATTGACTCGAGTGCAATCAATACCTAGAGAGCGCCCATCACATCACATCACACACACCCCAGGGAGCGAAACCGATCGACGAAACTTTGGGGCGTGGGCTGCTTGTCTTCCCCCTTCTAGCTCATGGATCGCCGGACGCTAACGCATTGCCGGGTGTGTGTCTGTGGGGGTGAGGAGGGCAGAAAAAGGGAAAGACAGCACCACTTGGCACTGGTAGATTCAATAGGGAAAAACGATAACAGCCAGAGCAAGCCAGAAGAGGACGGGTTCAATAAGATGACGGAGGCTCCCACGGGTGCCACTGTCCACCCCCACCCCCCCTTGCCCGGACGAACGACAGCAAGTCGGGCAGACCACGGCCGACGAAGAGACGACATGAACCGCAAGGTCGGCGGAAGATGCCGTAACGTATCCGTACCGCTTCGTCGTTGGGCCTCCAATCGGTCATGACTTTCCTATTCTCGCCTTCACGTCCGGGAGTCGGTGCGCCAGGCTCGTCCCTTTTGAGAAGTCTCACGACTCGAGTGTGACGCACGCATGGCCGCCGTCTGGTCTCATGGTCTGGCTTGGCCCTTTTTCTCTCCCCTTGTCTGTCTCTGACTCTCTTCTTTCGTCCCAACTTGGAGAGTCCACGGGCTTTTGGCGCAAAGCTGGGGTATCCCGTTATGCTTATGGCTGACTCCGAGTGGGCATGGGTCTTGTCAGACCGTCTTTTGGGAGCGTTCCGTTCTCCCAGTGTGGTACGGATACTGCGGTACCAAAAATGTGAATATCCTCAACCAGGGGGGTGGTTAGGGAAGTGGAGGGTGTCCATCGAGACTCCAGAAAGACTCCTCCCAAGGGACGACAGCTCCGCACAGGCGCTTGGGTTCATCAATCATGATGTAGGGGGCTTCACGGAAACGAAGCTTCCGTGAGGTAAAGGGAGAGATAACCAGCCAGGGTATTGGGAAAGCGGGAGAGCAAGAAGACCCTGAGTACCGGGAATTTGCAGTTTGGCAACGTGTTTCGAGAATCTCCTGGTTGAAAGATCGTCGATAGAGTGCGTAAATCCCCCGAACCCTAAACCGGATGACCACAGGGCCTTTCACGTCGACATGCGTCCGGCAAATCATACATGATGCGAGCCGGGACAGCCGTCAAGGGGGTTTAGGCGGTGAGAAACAAAGTTTACCCACTTCACAGGATCGTGTGTCCTTGGGAGGGGGCGGCTGGCTTCTCGCAAAGTGCGAGCGATGAGTAGCTGGGTCATGGTCAAATTGCAAGCGAGTCGTCAAATGTGGCTTCGAAGTTGCTGCCGTATCATGCATTTCTTTCCTGTGACCCGTCGTTCGCCTTGTCAACTACCTGCCATCAGTCCGTCAAGTTTCGTCTGTTTTCTAAGTCAGACTTGACACAAGCTTACCGCCACCGCCTGTCAAGTGGGTTGAACGCGTGGCATCCCATCTTCACAGGCGAGTTTCTAGGCATCGCTTAGTCCTTCACGGTCTCAAGTTGTTCAGCTTGCCCACGATCTGACAGCCGGACCTCATGCGCATCGCCTCGATCTTTCAAGGGAAGTGGGATGAGCCAAGCAGGGTCGAGGCGTCAGACGATGCATCTTTTTGCCTTCCCATGCGGTTTGTGGTGGCCAAGATGCATGATATGCTCCTAACCCTCAGGGTAGCCTTATGCGGCTGGCCCCTGGCCCATGAAGCATCTCAAACAGTATCCGCGCCAGACACCTGTCAACCCCCCGAGTGGGCTCTTCCGATGCGGGGGACAGAGGCCGGAGGCTGGCTCGTCCGGACGCAAGAATAGCATCCTCTGTGACGATATGGTAAGATGTCGCCGGGGTAAGGGCCCCTGTTGGCATGAAAGATCTGTTGAGGCTCAAAGCTTGGCTTTCAGTCTTCTTTTGATGTCAATTACTGTCATCACTTTGACGTGCGGGTCATCGTGTTTCGACTCGTCTGGCTGCGGTGGCGGCGTTTCAACTCGGAAAGTTGCTGGTATATCAAGGTGTACTATAGACTATAACAACAGATGGCGTTTCTTGACATGCGTGCCGTATGGCCCGAGGCTGCCTGTGCCATGGCTTTGTATCTTTGAAGTCCCCATTTGTATAACCTCCAGTTCATAGGGGCGTCTCAATAGCTAGACTGATCGTTCCAGTACAGGGTCTCATGGTACACCCTGTCGAAGGGGGGTTAGCATATAGGATTTCAGTTTGCCTCCTCGTCATGATCCGCAGGCAATGCAAGCATATCGTGAGAAGGTATAATCCGCAAAGGAGAGATCGAAGCATGGAAGACTCACTCGGGTCCGGTAGCATACAAGGGCCAGCCGAGCTTCAGCGTGATGTACTGTATCAGGTGGCTCGCAACCTTGATCTGGCCGACATCCGTCGGATGCCACTGTGGCGCGATGTCGTTGTGCTGGAGGATGCCTGTGGTATTGAAGAAATGCACGAAAGGTGACACCGGTTTACCCGTCTGCTCGGTAGTGTTTGTGACAGCATCCCAAGTTGTAGGGTTGCTTAGATACTCTTCCGAGTTGAAGTACTCGTAAACGCTGTATACTTCGTCCCGAAGATCGGTATTTTGACCGTACGTATTGCCATCTTGGAAAAAGCCTTGCCACATTTGCTATCGTTGCATTTAGTGAGAATTATGTAACGACTGAAAGGTTGGACGTACCATGACTATGACCTGGGCTTCGGGCCACTTTCCGTGAATACCCTGAATGAGTCTCTTGTAGTGCTCAACGTAGGTGGCTTTGGTGACGTTGTTCGCAGCATTCGCATCGTTTGTGCCGAGGTTGATGACAGCTAGGTCGGCAGGAGGGTTTTTGGAGAAGTCCCAAGGTTCTGGCTCATCTGCAAAGGCTGAAGTTAACAAAATGTTTTCCAGAATATGTCCCGTAGCGATCTGTGACTGATTTGAAGAGGCTGTTTCCGCCTGATTCTCTGCTTGGGACTGAATCCACATACCTCCCCATATGTTGGCCGCCCGTCCACCCGTGTCCGATGTGTAGAACCATTGGTGAGATTGCCCTCGAGGATTGCCCCAACAGTCCTGATCGGCAACGCAAATGCCCGGGTAGGCCGTTATGGAATACTCAGTGTCTCCCAGACCCGCGCCGACACCGTAGGCAAATCCCGCGAGCGCCTCGTACGTATTATACATGCCTGCTGACAGGCTATCACCGATGAATTCGACCCGACGAGGATAGTCGGGAATCTTGACAAGTTGTTCTCCAGAAGCCACATGGACCTTGTCGATTTGGACTCCATAAGCCCAGTTTGTCACTCTCATCTCAAAAGTGACTGGGCTGACAGGACCAGCTAGCTCGATGCCTGGGGTTTCGGGGCTCACGAACTGGTGAGTGCCGCCCGCCGTGACATTTGTGTGCATCCAGTCTAGGCCGGCGATTCTGTAGGCGACAAGAGTGCTGCTGATAGTCTGATTACCGAACGTGACTGCGACTGTCTGACCAGTAAAGCCGAATTTGATGCCCGGGGCTCTACACAGCCTAAGTTTATGAATGTTTCCACGGGGTCAGGGTACACTCACGCCCACCACGATATGCGCTTAGAGTCCCATCGACCTTTGTACGATATCTCGTCGGCATCGGCATCGTACGTCTTGAAGTCGCCAAGAGTCGGATCCACCTTCGTATCGGTGAAGCTCGTTAGTCTTGGGCGGCCGTTTTCCAAGATAGTTGCGGTGACGGCAGAGACACAAGCCAGTACCGTTGAGAGTGAGTGTATCATCATCATTACGGTGTTATCAGCAGCCACTCGCCTGATAAAGACGTCCGGTGTAGACGATCTAACAAGAAGTCTGGCAACATCATGAGCACAGAGATACCAGCTTCTTATGTCAATTTGTGACCTGCGGACGTGATTGAGGGTAGCCATGTCGACCCCTCATGACAATACGAACTAAGCATCCGGAGCGGCATGAGATAGACCGAAACGAGCGGAAAACACAATACTCCCCTTGCCAGAGTCACTTTTGGCTTGGAGAAAACGTGCCGGCTATTCGGGTCGTGTACCGCTCCGATATTCCAGATGCCGACAATTGTGAAATGAAGCCCTCAACTCCCTGCCTGCGCCTCGCGTATCTTGTAATACACTGCTCTCCTAAGCCTGAACAAAGCCCAGCGTGTACAGGCGCGAGACTGCTGACTCTTTGATCCGTGGCATCTTCTCGGATTCGAATTTGTCTAGAAGGCAAGAAGCCTTCGATATTCTGCCCGTTGGTCCGAATATGCGATAGCGACGGGAAAAGACGTTGGGTATCTCGAGGTATATTCCACGGAGGGAAGAGCTCCGTGGGCCCGATTGGTGAAAGTGAGGTGTGATGAAATGTGGATCTATCGGTGTGGGGTGCCCGCTGTGGCCCGGCATCCGGAGAGAGATACTGTCTTTTCCGGCCCGTCAGGTCGGGACAGTTGTGGGTATCGGAATACCGGGACTAGGATGTGACACATTCCGTGGGTATTTGTTCTAGGCCGAGTGCTGTATTCCGCCAGACCGTTGAACGTTGACGTGTATATGGGAAACTGCCCAGTTTGCGTCACGCCGACGGCCAAGACTAAGTTGACCCCGGTTCTGGCTTGGTTCTACAGTCTGAACGACGTCAAAAGATAGCTAAGAAAGCGGTGTTTGAGAACGAATATCCTGCATCAATACCATTGTCAGACACATGAGAGCTTTCCATTCAGTGTTGAGGAGATACTTGAACAAGTCTGGTTGATGAGGACTAAGATTCGGGCTTAGATCTGTCAAGTGCTGGGAAAGGGGGTTCCATACCCGAGGCAAGTGTCATGCAAGGCGTGATGTGATGTGCATATCGCTGCTGCGTTGAATCTCGTGGCGCGACCATGTGCATACATCTCTGCAGCATCCCACAGCGCGGCAGCTGCAGCAGTTGTTCCTCGTCTCCGGCACACGATCGTATTGGTGCATCGGTTCGTTCAGGCTGTGCCGATGGGGAGGTGACGTATTTCCTTGCAGCAATTGACCCGGTCGAACGTGACATGTGTCTTTGGCAAAAAGAAAGGCCACGCCGACACCAGCACGAACGATAGTGGTGTTAGTAACATGGTAGAGGTAGCATGAGTTATATTTGGTCTGCCGAGAAGTTGGAAGCACGGAAAAGAGCCATGGGCTCTCCTATCGAACTTTGAAGGTTGGTTGAACAAGGTAGGATGCGGATGGAATGGAATGTCACCTGTCCGTCCGGCTCCAATGCCCAACTTGTATCCGTACGTAGGTAGTCAGGGCGAGGGTCAGTCAGGGTATCGTCTAAGCGTACTTCCGTACTTCGTACCAAGCCGCATTCCCCGGGATGCCGGCGGGGGATCGCTCGAAGCTATCATCCCTGCGGCAGCGAACCCAGTGTGACGGACTCCAGGGTAGGCACTGACCGCTCAGGTATCCCCACGGGAAAGCAAGAGCTGCCGTTGGATAGGTAGCTTGGCCGATGTTCCAAGGTTTCGAAACGACAGACCGCCGAGTTGCAGTCGTTCGGATGCTCCGATGAGGCCCATGTTTCTTTGTTGACCGAGCCTACCTGAAATGCGCCGGCCGGGGGGTTTGTGTCGTGGGCAAAGCGAAGGAAAACGCGGTGAGATGGGCAACTCAATTTCGGGGAGAGCAGAAAACGGCATCCGGAGCGAAGCCATTGTGGCCATGAGGAGGGATCTATAAACAAGGAAGTGTCATGGAATCAAGAAAATGGTAGAGGTTGTGCGGGCGAGGGAGGACGTCAATCACGCGGCAGCAGTGGAACTTGAGGTGGTGAACAGACGCGGAAGGAAGAATGCGCCGTGAGGTACCTGCCGTCTGTGAAGGTCAAAACTTTGGGAAACAACCTACCTGGATGTCCGGCGCATCATCGTCACACCGAGCCACGAGAAAAAGGTACTTCCTTCTCCACGATAATTTGCACGAGGTCGAGGTACCTCGTCACCCCGTGCACCTGCATCTACCGGTGTAAGGGACCATCCAACAACAACAACAACGTCGACAACTTGCTCCTTTTGATGAGACCCTCAAATAGCAAGCCCATCCGCCCTCCAGCATACTCGTCCACCTCACCTCGATAGGTGCTAGCCTTTGTCTTGCTCCCGCTCGCTCGCTCGCTCATGAGTCTGGTGCCACCGGTCGTCGTTTCCCCTCCCTTCGTCCGCTCGTCGCATCGCCATCACCATCACCTGTCTCTCGACCCCTCAATTACCTACCATCTTTCGAACCATCCCTAGCAATAGCGTTCATCGAGCCGCGGGTGTCTTGGGCTTCTCCGAGGTAGTAGATAGCGATTTCAACCCCCATCACACCCTCTCGGAATCCATCATCACGAGCCCAGCAGGCCTCCGTCCAAATAGGAAGGCCAATAATCGTGCAATACCACCACGGCGGAAACACGGCGCTTGTCTTGAATTAACGATATCGACCGAGGGATGCCACACGGTTCCTGTCCATCCACACACCACTTACTCTCCGCTCCTGTCTGCCGCGTGCGCTACCTTACCTTACCTCACGATTCGCGACTGGGACTTTGGAACGGAACGAGAGACTGACAGTAAGGCTGGCAACCAACAATCTTCGGTTATACTTACAGACTTCTTGCCGGCTCAATTCCCGTCACTGCTTTGCCAGGATCATCCATTGATTGCCTACCGAATATTCTTAGCCTTGCAGCCACCTACCGCCAAGATTGCTTTTTGCGACCTCCAGAGCAGTATTCCCACATTGTCGCTGCTGCTAGCTGCTATAGCGCCCCAGGGATCGACCGTCAGCTGATACCGAGCTTTCCCCCATTGCGCAGGGGAAAAAGAAACCACCTCCCACGGTTTGGATACATCAAATCTGTCTGCACCAGGAGCTGTGTTCCGTCACCAGGGACCATCCCGTTCGCCTATCCTTTGCGACGGCGCCTTTGCGCTGTTTTCCCCCCCAACAAGTCAAAGCGGCCGAGACCTGGTCTGGGTCTGAGCCTTGGTGACCTGAACCAAGACCTGTGCGGGTAGCAGCGACTAGCAAGGCATCACGGCGGTGGAGGGCGCGGACTCACCGGTTGTGTATCACCAAAAAAAAATCCCCAACTTGGAACGCTGCTTCTCTCTCTTTCTCCTTCACCTCCCCTTTCCTTCTGTACGCCTCTCCCTCAGCCTTTTCCCTCGCCCATTCGAACACTTCGACGACACTCCTTCGATCCGATTCGATCCCATGCTTTCGAACAATACGACGATACACTCTACCCGTTCGACATCGTCGAAGCCACAGTTATCGTAATAGTCTTTGGCCAGTCTGAACTCAATTCGCCCGCGCGCCGAGCTCGCAGCCCGATCTACCAGCAATGATCTCCGTTGGCTCTACGATATCATGACTTTGCGCGCGTTACCATCGCCCAAACAAAGGCTACATTACTTCCTGGTTCCGAGCCACAGCCCATGCTATTCGTCGCGCTCGCATCAGCAGCTGCACCTCTCGCCTTCGCCCCCGACTGTCGTCAAACCCCTCCTCTCCCTCGAACCCCACCTCCGACAGGGACAATACCCCGATTCTCGTCGCCGCCGCCGTAGTGCCGCACGGCAATCCACCCATCATCGAACATAGACAATACCAACGCGCAACGACCTCAACCACAACCGCAAGTCTTGCTTTCACCCAGCTGCGCACGGTGCGCTGCACCGAGCCATGTCGACCACCCAAGCCAATGCAGTGCCGGACACGCAATTAGGGTTGAGCTATGAAGAGATACAGCTACTGCGTCAAGGACAAGCGGCACTGGGCCAGGGGACAGGCGGAGGCGGCTCGAATTCGTCGCGAGCAGCAAGTCGCGCGTCAAGCCAAGGACTGCTGCTGCTGGACAGCACCTCATTGGCAGCTCTAGGACGGTACTTTGACCGGGTTATGAATCAGATCGAACAACAGATCATCTACCTTAGCGAGCAAAGCCAAATGTTCACCATGGCCCAATTTGACCGAGCTGGCAACCTGATCGAGGGTGCTGACGCCGAGATCCAGCGGTATCACGAGCTTCTCCGGCAACTTGACGAGTTGGAACTCGACTTTGATCGAATAAGGCATATCAAAGAGATTGTACGAGGGTACAGATCACGAGTCGAAGAGATGGAGCGTGAATTGGAACGGAGTGGCTCATCTTCCCGGCACAGAGAAGGCCACCACTCTCACAGGCATGGTCACTCGCATAGCCATCGGCATGGACACGAGAGTTCTCGTCGACACCGACACTAAATCATTCCGCGTACGCACAACGAAGGAAATCGCGCCTCGGGAGCTTCAATGCTTGGCTGAGAAAAAAAAACATCCACATTAAGCGTATATGAACAAAATGTTGAAGGATGGCAACAGAAGCGCATCTCAAAATTGTGGTGGAGTAGAACATATCGGTCACACGACCGCCACAGGATCTCACAAGGCTCAGAGGTTGGCTCGATAACGTTTTACCCCGGCGGGAACATACAGCACCGCGGGATTGAATTTACGAGCCATGACGAAGAGCAGCTCTATATTATCCGGTCGTGCGAACCAACGGCCAATGGCGGTCCCAAGACGGAGAGCCTCGCGGCTGGACAAGATGGAAAAGCCTCACGGCTCGGTGGTTTTATTTCAAGGCGTTTGATTTCTTCGATTTCTCTCTTATTAAAACAGCGGGGGCTATCTCGGTGCTTCACGAATGCCTGTTTGGCTGCTATCGGGAGGCGTTGCGCAATCTTCATGAGCTCAAAATACCCATCTTTTCTACTGTGTACGGAAAACCCAAAGCTAAGCCTCGCGGCATTGTACGTGATCCAGGTGCATGGATCTTGTTGGCATATTCGAGTCATTTCTCGAGGTTATGAGTTACGTCTCTTTACTTAGTCTATGAATTCTTGCCCTGAGCGCGACAGATATCTATCCACCTACTGGACGACTATCGTCATTTACCAAATTTCAACTGGATCGAAAAAGTATAGCAAATCTCCGCTATGAGTTCATAATACATTTTTGGCCCAAAGGGCACCTTCGACGGCGCAGGCTGGGCGCTTAGCCAGGGGTTAGGCACACACACTCTCTGGTTTCAAAAGCCCCCCTTTTGAAATGAGGCAACTCTCGATCGCAACTGCGAACTACTTTGGGCACACATGTTGGGCAACGAGGGCGCATTATTCGCCCGTTCTTCCCATTGATGCCTTGGCACCTGCCATTGCTCTTGTCTCTTTCCCCGCTGGAGCCGATCCGACCTTGGACATTGCTCGTGAGGTCATTCGTCGTAATAGGAGACTGGTGTATCCCGGTGCTTTCCCCGCCTCTTGTTGATTATTCCGCCTCGTCGGCGACGTCTCCGTCTCCGTGGCATAGGTACAACGTCGGGCGAGGGACAGTAGAAAGGAGATAGGACAGCGCGAGGGAATTAGCACGCAGGGTCGGTGCGCTGTTTTCTTTTTCTCTTATTTTTGTGCGGCTTCAGTGGTGCTGTTGAGTGCCCGCTACCATGTTCTCAGTGCCCTCTGCTTGGTCCGAGAGGAAGCAGATCTACCTTCTCTATACTCAGAAGAAAACGCCGAGTTCAACCATGCACACGTGGATTTGTATTTTGTTTTGATAACGAGATGGTATCTGTTGACTCTACGCTAGGCCGCCGACGATTCCTATCATCTGATACGTGAAGATTCTCTTTATTGGAAATCACCGTCACGAGAATGACCTCCCCCCTCTAACCATTCAACAGAAAGTCAATTGTCAAAGTATTTTATGTCAGTTCATGCTGAGGAGATCCACGGCCGAGCTTTACGTTTTGAAAAGCGTGGTTGTGCTCGTACCGCGATGCAAGTTAGTGGGCAAGTCCTCCCACAGAAGTAACGAGAACGGAAAGCCGATGGACCTTGCCCAATGGCTTTTGCCATTGCTCTCATTGCTCTGACTACATTGGCAACGGAGTTGATTCTGGAGGAACGAGCGTTGTGTGCTGCAGATCTTCTTCTCTTCTGGTGAGATATATTGTTGTTTCTTACCAGGGTAGCAGCAGCCAGTCTGAGTTGAGCCAGCTGTTGACGATTTCTGGCCCCGAGTCGGGTATGGCACTTTCTGTGCATGTTATAGAGTCCCTTGTATCCTCATACACAGATTGTTTAACTGTCAGTCAACAATTCGAGTTTGTGTTATTTCACCGTCGTAATCTATCAGTTGAAAGAGGGTGAGGGGAACGTATATGTCGAGTCTCACGAGATCGGACGTGTTCTTGCCCCCCACCTGAGCGCTTCATAAGACTTGATTACCTGACTCTCGAGGAGGTGCTCACTTTGAGGGGTTGCTGCTTCTTGTTTCAATTTCAATATGTGTGTTAGTTGACAAGGTCAATAGCTCCCATGCCCTTGAACAACACTAGAAGGGGCTAAGATTTGTCGGTGTAGTTTTCGACATCTTTACATAGCTTGAGACTATGCTGTGACTCCCATACTTCTACAGTGAGGTCTCTCTGTCAGAGGTGCTAGACGATATGTGTCCGCCGCTCTCAAGCCCCCCGACTATCCCAAAGACTCCGAAACCGCGATGCCCGACCCAACAACTCGTCCGGCCTGCCAACCTCCACCACCCGACCCTCATGCATCACAACAACGACATCATAGCCAACAATAGCCTCCAACCGATGCGCGACCTCAACAACAGTGACACCCGCTTCCCCAAACTCTTCGCTCAACACCTTTCTAACCTCCTCATCAGTAGCATGATCGACGTTGCTCGTCGCCTCGTCAAGCAAAACGATACCTCCCCCCCGCGACTGCGTCCTCAACACCGCCCTCGCGAGGCAAAACAGCTGCTTCTGTCCGGCACTCAGCCCCGTCGCGGACATTTCTGCGTCGAGACCACCACGCGCTTCGATGGGTTCCCAGATCTTCATCTTGCGCAGGGCGGAAATCAGATCCGCGTCGGGGGTGTGGCCTCTGGGATCGAGGTTCTCACGGACGGTGCCTGGGAGGACGACGGGATCTTGTGGGAGTGTGGTGAGGGATGTGCGGGTGGCGGAGCGGGGGAGGGTTAGGAGGGAGTGGGAGGCGATCTTGAGGTCTCCTCCTCCTTCTTCTCCTTCTTCGGGCTGGAGGTCGAGTAGACGGAGGAGTGTGAGGAGGAGGGAGGATTTGCCAGAGCCGGAGCGACCGCATATACCAACCTTCTGACCCGGTAGTATTGTCAGGGATACATTTCGTACGACAGGGTCAGTTTCGTCGCTGGATCGGATGTTAGATCACTTCAAGCCTCGTCATAGGGATCAAAATGCAACACTTGCCTATAAGCAGCCGTCACGTTCTCAATCTCAATCTTTCCACTCCCAGGCCACGCCGGCGGCATCTCGTCCGCCTCGCCATCACGGTCCTCGCGCGGGGTATACCGCACAAAATACTTCAACCGCGCAATCGCGCCAAGGCTCGTCTCCAACATGGTCCACATCTCGATGAAGTCGCTCAGCGTCTGATTAAAGTTGATAATATTCACCATGGCGAGGCCGATGGCGCCCATGGTCGTGGCGTTTGTAAAGTACAGCGCAAACGCCACGAGAACGACGGCCATGCCCGCGATGAACAGGTCCAGCACGACGTTGAGCCAGCGCTGGACGCAGAAGAAGAGGTAATACGGCCGCTGCGAGGCGTCGAGAAGCGCGTGGTTCTCGCGGAGCATGGCGGGGGACCAGGCGAAGGCGCGGATGGTCGGCAGCCCGGCCAGGACCTCGGAGAAGTGGGTGAAGAGCGGGGATTTCGCTTCGAGGTCGATGTGGCGGAGCTGGCGGGAGGTGCGGAGGTAGTACTTTTGCAAGAGGTAGAGGGCGAGGAAGGACGGGGGGATGAGGGCGGCGATGTAGGAGCTTCCCGTGGCGATGATGGCGGTCTCGGCGAGGACGGTGAGGAAGCTGTACATTGCGGTCCAGGCGGAAAGGGGGAGGCGGTGGTCTATGAGGGCTATGTCTTGGCTGAAGCGGTTGAGGGTCACGCCGCTGTCTGTTGTTGTGAAGAAGTAGAGGGGCGCGCTTGAGGTGGGTTAGTCATTGACGAAAACGAATGGTGCGAATGAGGCCGGTCAGGGGTTCAGGGATGGGATGGGGATGGTCTTACGCAAGAACTGCTTGGAGAAGAGTCTGATGGAGGTGGTTCGCGGATCGGGGGATGGCGAGGAGCATCCAGAAACTTGAACAGTCAGTAAGATGAAATTGTTGTATGAGATGTAGTCGGGAGGCTCACCCTAGTGATACGCCGTTGAGAACGATGCAGAGGAGGCCAAACATGAGATAGATACCAAAATGCATAGCCGGCCGGTCATTCGTGCCGTGTTCAGTCCAGATCCGTAACCAAATTTCTACCAAAACCGGATTAGCAATGCAGCTCCTTTCGTATGACACCAAGCTTGAATGAAAGCAGAAATACTTACGAGGCATCTTCGTGAAAGCAACAAACAAAACATTCAGAATGACAAACATAATAAAGATGGGCCATCCGATAGAGTTGAGGTACATCCGGTAGCACTCGTTGTCACCTGTCTGCCTCGTCAGCTCGGCCTCCGTGGTTCCGGGAGCGACGGCGACGGGTCGATCTGCTCTAGTTGGCTTCGAGTCTTTGGCCGGATCCTCGGTTGATTCATCGTCCTCTCCGGGGTCTTTGTCTTTGGTCTCTTCCTTTAGAAGATGACCCCATGCGGAGCGCGGGAGGGAGTCGAAAGAGACTTGGTTATGGAGAATAGTACCATCTTGAATCATGGTGATATAGTCGGCCGAGCGGAGAAAGTTGACTGCGGGCTTGTCAGTCACACCTTGGGCGCTGGGCTGTTGCGTGGTAAAGCAGACTTACCATGGTTCGTTGCGAGAAACACCGTCATGCCCGCTCGACGTAGAAGCCCAACCGGGCCTATAAGACGCCGGAAGACAGCTTTGGACGTTGAATTATCGAGGCCGCTGAAGACGTCGTCTAGAAGAAGTAGTTTCCTGCGCGAGTAGACGGCGCGAGCCAAAGCCTGTTACATTTTCGCGTAAGTTGATCGCCGCGAACACATTGATACCGCTCATGTCGGTGAGGAGTCAAAACTCACTACTCTCTGCTTCTGACCGCCGCTCAGAGCTACGCCACCAGTGCCGACAATGGTATCCTCGGCCTCGGAGAACAGCGCAATGTCTTCGTCTAGGGTGCAGGCGCGCACAACGGCAGAGAACCAGGCTTGGTCGAAAGGTGTCTGGCCGATGATGTTGTTCTTGATAGAAACGTTGCGCAGCCAGGCGGACTGGTCGCAAAAGGCGACGGACGAGGTGTGAAGCGTGATGCTGCCGGTCGAGATGCCGGTTTCTCCTAGTATGGCTTTCAGCAGCGATGACTTTCCGCAACCTACACGTCCGACGAGCATAGATATGGTAGCTTGTCGAAGGGTGAGAGACACATTCTTCAGAATCTCGGTGCCGTCTTTCAGAACTAGCGTCGCATCTTCCATGATGACCACGGGCTTGTTGGTATCGCCCGAGGCGACGGAGGATCGATCCGTCCTCCTCAGAGACCCAAGCTCAATTTCATTATCATTCGCCAGCTGGATGGCTTGCGGAGTTAGAGGTTGCAAATCGGAGCCGCCGCGCACACTACTAGGCAGCGCGCGGTCAGAGTCCTGAGAAACCTTGGAAGAGCCCGTGATGATCTGCCGCTGGTCGACAATCTCATCCAAAAGGAGAAAGTCTTGAATGCGCGTGAAGCAGCCAATGGAACCCATGAGCTGCATAATGGACGACATGAGCTTCATGAGGGGCTGCGATACCAGAACGATAATGGACAGAGCCGTAAACGCCTCGGCAATTGTGAGCCCTTGCTCCGTTCTTGTCCAGAAGACGGCGGCGGCGATGATAATGATGGGAGTGAGTTGCTGTGCAACTCCGCCTGGGAAGGGACGTTTTGTTTCAGTCTTTTTTCTTGGTCAAGGAGCGATGTCAGTGGGAGGGGGAGGGTCTACCGATGACACTCAGAATAGTGACGAGGATTCTGAACTTGGTGGAGAGCTTCAGCTCAGAGGCGCGCAGCTTCTTGATGATATCGGAGAAGTGGTCCGTCAGACCCATCATCTTGATGCCCTTGATCTGCGTGAGCATGGACGAGGTGATGGAGACACGCTTCTGCACGCCTTGGTTCCATGCCACACGTGCCGGAGCCATGAGGGTGGAGAGTTTGCTTGTGACAGCAGTGCAGACTAACATGTGTATTAATATGTCTGTGGCGTCTTTGGAAGAAACAGAAGAAGGTGTAAGAAAGACAAGATACGACTACTTACCCAAGCCTGGGATAAGCAGGAGAAAACAAGGAGGGCCGACCTGTCGGTAAAGCAGGTACACCCCGACCGGGAGTTCAATGGCCGCCGCCCAGACGTCGTGAATAAAGGTCATGGACGCAGCAATGGCCTCAATGTCAACGCTCATAAGCGTCACGGGCGCCGAGTCCTTGATGATGGAAGCATCGAGGCTGAGCGTCTTCTTGAAGATGAGGGAGATGAGACCGCCGCGGAAGAGCGTCACAAGCTGGAAAGTCATGTGCTGGTACCAGCATCTTGAGACCTGGTAAAGCGTCTTATTAGCTGGGTGCCGAGATGGCAGCATTTTACGGGCGCGGGGAGAACTTACAGCAATTCCACAGTAGATCAACGCCGTTGCGCCGACGAGACCGCCGGCAATGTTCCTTGATTCTTCCGTGCGAGGACTCCCGACAAAGTTTACAATTTGGTTGACGAGGAAGGGCTGAGAGAAGATGAAGCCCGCAAAGAGGATGCGGGGGAGTACCGCTGCGAGAAAGGTGGTTCTGTATGCCCAGAACACGCTTCTGATGAGGCTCCATTTGCTGTTTTTCGCCGCTAGATATCTCGTGATCAGCTTGGGTTTCCCTCCCTTCCCCTCCCATGTACTGCAGAGAGACAGGTGTCGGACTTACCCCTAGACCACACCCCGTCCAGTCTATCAAGCAAGACCGTAGAGTCAAATTTGGGATCAATCGACCCGAGATCCTCCAACCCAATGAGCAGTCTGAAACCCTGGAAGAACAAGCCGTTCAGCCACCAGAATAAACTCCTGCTCACGACGCCGGTGGTGCACTCAACCGCGACATCCTTCTCGCTGTCCGGAAGGTACGCACGCTTCGGGGTCTCCTCCAGCACGAGTATGACGGCTTTGATAGCAAGTGAGGCCGTGAAGACGCCTGCGATTGGCGTGAGGCCGTCTCGTATCCACAGCGTCCTGGCGTGCGCGGTGTCGAGGATGATGGTCAGGACGAGATACGCGCCGAGGAGCAGGGACGGCCTGACGGAACGCTTGTGTTCTGTATAGGACAGGGCGCCTATTGCGATGGTCTCGATGAGGCCGATTGCGCTTTCTGCTACCGAGGTTTTTGTTTTTGGGGCGGTTGGGAGAGACCATAGTGTGATGAGGGCTATTTGAAGGCAGAGAAATGCGGTTACGGCTAACTGGGATCCCATTAGTATTCTTGCTTCAGAGTTAGGCCAACAAGCGTGAGTTATCAGTACCAGCTTCAGCCATAGAAGTCTCCCTGAGCGGACACGGATTCCATTGCGTAAAAGCGAGGAGATTCGGACTGGGACGAGGAGGATGAAGAGAGCGGATGGTAGAATGGAGAGTATGCTCTGCTCGAATAAGATGGTAAAGTCAAAGTAGCCGCGCACCTGCGGACCGAAATAATCGTCGCCAACGCTCATTGCGAGATGGTAATGACCGTCAAGACAATTCGAGTCCTTTCAAGCGATATTGAGATGTTGGCCACAATCCAAGGTGGAACAACGGCGAGCCTAGCAAGATATCCCATTGCGAGGTCGTGAGGTCCGAATGATTCTTATAAAAATGAAGAGAATTGTGTAACAGTCCCTTTCGAAGGGAACGAGATTGTTTATCCAGCTTCCTGTTTGAGGTTGAAGCCAAGGCTGACTGCCTGGGCAAGGGGAGGGAGTGTTACGTGTTGGGGGGTTCGAGACAACATGTATTGTCCAATCATGACCCAGAGACTTACACGAAGGATTCTGTGCTTGTGCGAGCCGTATTCGTCCCGATTGGGGAAATGCTCTTATCGGGGCCCAGTTCACTCCGTGTAACCAACCATTTATTGCCCGCCGTTCTTATCCTGTGCCTCTTGGGTATAAAGATGATGCGAATGGCGCGATGTACATATTTCCCATTCCATCAGTGTAATACGCCACTCACATTAATCCGACCATGCGCATCGTGCGTGTGTTGATCCCGTCCCGGCTCGTAGTAACATCGTCACATCACCAACAGACAAGGATGCCATCTGCATCTAGCACTTTTTCTCAACGTTCAGGGTCTGTCATTCTCAGGGCTCAAACAACGTACCATTCACTGGCTCTGTGTGTTAAAAGATTCCACTCAGCAGTCCACCGCTCATTCGGCTCTACCCTTCAACCGTGATACAGGGCCCCTATGGTGCCTTCATTGCATCCTTCCTCTTGAATCATCAATTCCTGGCCAGTCACCCACGCTGAGGTCCTCTCGACGTCAATCTTCTCCAGCACAACTCTCAATCTTCCGAGCAAGCATCTCCAAATGCCACAGCCCGGCAAACATACCCCCTCGGTCCTCCCTTTGAATCTGCCTCATCCCTCACACCGAGCCATGCCTCCAAATCCTGACCGCACAACGCCTCAGCTGCTTCGCTCCTCTCGACGCAGCTTCGCTGAGTGATATCTTCCGCCCATTTCCGTTTCGTCGATAACTCAAATTTCCTTGTCTCAGGCGTTTAGCTTGTTGGTATCGACCGTAAAGTGAAGGCAGACACCGTGCGAAACGTAACAACGTCCAAAGCTCGTAGAGGTATTATTCCAGCCGCAGATCGAAAAAGGCGTGCAGGCAGATGCTGCCCTGGATAACGGGTCAGACCTGGGGAGTCGTCGACTGTGAGCAGGCGGCGATGGTCTCCGAGATCGAGCTGTGATGCGGATATGGGAAAGCTGAATGCTCATCCCACTCTGTTCGGAATGTACCACCTCACGTTTGTACCTTCCCGTGCCTTCCGTGAGCACCCCTTGTACCCTCCCTCAAGTCCATTCCCGTCACCAGCCAGCAGGCGCCCCCTCGGGGGTCAGGCCAAAGCTGGCTGGGTGGTGGAGTGGTTGAAGTCCACGAACAGCCTAATCGGTGAAGGCTTTGAGAGGTCCCGTGTTCGAGTCCCAGCATGAGCACCAGAGATGTAGCCCCCGTTCGCCACCGGGGGGGTGAACTCTTTTGTTTTGGGTTATTGTCGTAAGTAAAAGTGCTCAAGTAATCTGGTCTTTTAGGTAGTTGGGTATACGATGAGGATCATCTCGGAGCTTTCCTAGGTTCTTACAGTGTATCGAGGGCAAGGCAGAGGCGGTCGGCCATTTGTTTATTGATGAGTATTACGAGTTGACCAAGGGATTTGCTTAACCTTGGGCTGATGATACAAGAGGAGCCCGCCATCTCGAGATGACACGATTGAGCGTCAACAAAGTCCGTTCCGTCCTAAAAAAAACACCATCCCGAACCTGCAGGTGACAGAGAGAGATGCCCTGAGATACATACCCGACATGCTGAAACACCACTCACCTCGACGGTATAGAATTTGCCCTCAGATTAGCTCTCTCATGTTCTCACGGACAACGGCCGACGGATGTAAACCCGTCGTGCTGTCTGCAACTTTGGCTTATTTGGACTATGGTCATCACCGGGCAATTCTATATCGTGTTTGCTGCGCAGGCCGCTAGGCTGGCAGTTCTCGAAATCTGCAGCCGCCGTTAGCTCTTCACGTCTCAAGTGTGAATCTATCGAGGAGGATGATGTCAACTTACCGGCCAGCTCCGATTGAAAACTATATTTTGTCCTGTCACGAGCACTCTCCGAGGCGGAAGCGGCAAGCCGTGACGCACAAGGAGGAAATGCTTCTAGGTAACTGCAGATTGTCGTCATTGCGGCACGACATTTCGAAGAACGTGGCGCCAGCTGTTGCAGCAAACGCAGCGATAACATCCCATGCTGGGAGAACCCAGATGGGTGCCTGCTCAGATCTCTGTTCTTTGGTGCTGGTCCTGCCATCGAGAGGAGGGCTCCGTTGCAGAACCGCAGAACCCGATGGTCCCGTAACCGTTTGTGAAAGCTTTCATCAATGCAGGCGGGGTAAGGGAATAGGGTGAGGGATGTGTGTTAGGTGCACGAGAAAATGGGCGAAGAATACTGGTAAAGCATGGTGGGAACAAGATGGAGACCAACTTGGCGTCATCGAAAAAAGACAGCATGGGAAAAGGTACCCGCCGCGCTCCTGGGAGGGGGGTCTCGCTAGATCTCACTTGAGAATCTGCGCAAGTAGCTGCTTTGAGCTGGAGGAAGAATTGGTAAGAAATAATACAAGGAAAACTTCAACCTCTGTCGAAGCTGAGGCTGGAGAGTAGCTGCTGGGATGAGGTCAGTCAAAATGGCCCCGAATTTCATGTCCTACACAAAGTAGCTTACCTGTTCAAGGCACTGAATTTGACAGCGGGATCTCTGAATCCAAAAGACTGTGCTAGGAATGCTCCTTCGGAATTTCTGCGCCCATATTTTGTGTCAACGGTGGCAGAGGTGGCAGTCGGGAGACCTCTTCGGTTGAAGGTGGAAGAAGCAAGTCGCGGTTGAAGAAGTCCAGTCAGGCGCGCCGCGCGACGACGGGAGCTTTGGGCGCCCTCCACTTTAATCTTGCATAGCCACATTTACATCGCACCACCAGCCACACCTTGGCCTCTCTTGAGTTAACATTGAGAACAAGCTCGAGGGTCATCTGGACGGGGGAAAAAAAGACGTATGGCTTTCAATCGTACACTCGTGATATGGCTCTAAAATGTACTCTCTACTCAAAGTCTATCCTTCTCGACCTCGATAGCTTCCTTCAGCCTAGCCTCTATCCGGGCAATCACGTCCGCATCGTACAGGTCCTCCAACTTGGTATCGTCCTTCTTAAGGTACTCCTTCTCGTGGCGGAGAGCTTCGTCTCTAGTCATACAGACCAAGTCGCGGAAGCGAATGTTGGACCACTTCTGCTCCTCGGCGCCCTCCCCAATGCGCAGCTTGGTCTGGCCCTCGGGCCGTCTCCACCGTACCAGCACAAGTCTGTTGATGAGACCGGTGACGGCGCTGCGTCCCTTCCACAGCTCCTCGGTCAAGAAGGCGGCGTCGCCGAGGGAGACTGGGATGCGGAGACCCTTGGACTCTTCGATGCCGAATCTGTGGTGGACGATTCTCGTCTCGGAGCCTTGGACGAACGCTACAATGTCTGTGTAGAGCTTGTCGCGGTTCTTGGCCGGGACGTAATCAAGGGGGTATCCTAGAAGCTTTATTAGCCCTGTAAGATCAGATGTATTCGCTTCGGGAGTTTTCTTACCTGAAATGCTGAGAATGACGTGGTTCGCGGCGATGTATCCAAAGACGGCGGGCATGGTTCCAAGCACGGGAAGAATTCGGACTCTGAAAGTCGGCAAAACACTGAGATCGCCAACCTGGCCCTTCTTGAACTCTTCTTCGTCGAGCGGCAAGAGAGCAGCCTTGCCCTCGCCGGCGACCTCCGTCGAGTACACGACAGGAATACCACCCGTCACGCCCTGCAGCTTCAGCTTCCTGCGAGTAGCTCTGGAAAGCCCGTCGTCGGTGCTGGCTCCGATATCGCCGACGTTGACGCGCGTGGGGTCGCCCTTGGCACCGGCTCCCATGGAGGAGATGACGGGGATGCCGTGATCGTGGCAGTACTTGAGCAGAGCGACCTTTGTATCAATGTTGTCAATCGCGTCGACGACGTAGTCCGGCTTCTGCCCGTCCTCGGCCCAGGGCGCAAGCAGCGCGTCGGCGGCAATCTTTTCAAACTTTTGGTTCTTGAGCTCGTACTTGGCCCAGGGGGCGATGGCGATGAGGCGGCGGTAGAGGCATTGGACTTTGGGGATGCCGACGTCCGCCAGCGTGGCGACGGCGTGTCGGTTGAGGGAGCTGAGGGTGACCTGGTCGAAGTCGATGAGGCGGATCTTGGAGACGCCTGAGCGGGCGAGGGCGGCGGTGCAGTGGGAGCCGACGCCGCCGCAGCCGACGACAATGACGAAGGCGTTGCGGAGCTTTTGCAGGCCGTCGTCTTTCAGGAAGACCCTGTTGCGGGCGAGTTGCTCGAGGATGAGTTCCTCGTCAAAGTCGCCGGCCTGGGCTCTCCTGGCGAGAGCCTGGTTGCGGGCATCCTCCTTGTCTACTGGGGGAGATGCGGCGCCATACCGAGTGAGCTGTGAGATGTGATCAGTTTAGAGGTTCATGTTATAATGTTAACGGTCCACTTACCTTGGCAGCTTCCTCAGGAGAGGAAGGGATGGACTTTTTGAGATCTTGGATTCGTTCTTTTCTTTCGAATGCTTGGTAGCCAAGGATGAGACATGCTACCGTGGCGCCAGACAACACAGCGGTTGCCGCCAGTTGCGCATGCGGACTTGACGCCGCTTTAGAGAAAAATGAAGACATTTTCAATCTCGCACACTCATCATGCAAGATGATGAGCTTAGTGAAGTGCCAAGTCAACAGAGAGGGAGAGTGCCGTGAGTGGCTTTCTGTCAAGCCAGTCTTACACGAGTTTCAGGAGGACCCTCTCAAAGTCACTGGCGATGGGTCTAAGCAGTACCTTCAAGTTAGGCTTCTATTGCACCTTCGCCGGTCTGAGAAAAAAAAAAAGTTGCTACAGGTGAGTGGCCAATCAGCATCTCCAATTCCAGCTGACAGCGGAACATTCGCCCACCGACACCACCGACCGCACCGGCCATGAGTGGCCCCACTTCGGCATGGAATCTTGGATGCATCGACCACTTCGGTTTGGAAGCTCCCTGGTCACTTCAAGCTCTGAGCTTCTTCCCGAATATTTAATTCTACCGCAAAGAAGTCAACTACGACACAACTACCGACGGACACCCACCAGGAACAAATGAGCCTCGCAACCGCATGAACACGACAACACTCCCGATCAGAAGTTTCCTTGGCCCGCAGCCACGATGCGCCAGCGCCTAGCCCTCCGCCGAATCCTCCTCCAGAGGCTCTTCCGGCTCCAGACCACCCGGCCCTTTACGAGCAACACATCCCTCACCTCCCGCGGCAGGCCACAGCTTCCCTTCCTCTCGATCCCCGTCGTCACCGCGCCGCGGGCCCGCTACTTCACCACAGAAAAGAAACGCTTCCTGCGCTACGAGGGCCGTCTCTTCCTCCGTTACAATGTCTCCATCTGGGGCGGTGCCCTATGCATCCTCGGCATCGTCTTCCTGCTGAACCAGGAAGGGCTGGAGAAGGAATACCCCACGCCGCATGAGTGGTCCTACCTGACGCGCATGGGCATCCGCGGCGCCAAGAATGCCGCCCGAGATACACCCGGCCACAGCGTGAACTGGGTCGAGGTCATCGTGACATGCAGAGGCGCGCTGGCTCGGCTGGAGAACCCGGATATCGACGGCGCCGCGATCCGCGAGCTTCTCGACGAACCTCTATCCATCGACGGCATCGGCAACGCGGGCAAAGATGTCTCGGCCAAGAGCGAGAACTGGAGGCGGGGCTACTACGAGGTGCTGATGCTCATGGCGCAGGCGGCGGAGCAGCTCGACGGCTGGGTCAAGGACCGGACGAGGAACATCATCTTCCCCGCCGACGTCGTCCTGGGCCCTTCCAACCCGCACCCGAAACCCATCCCGCCCGGCGCGGAGAGCGCGCCCCGCGAAGAGGACTGCGAGGTCGCCTACGAACCCGCCGAGAACCACTACCTCCGCATCCTCACCACAAAGGGCTTCACCGACCGACAAAAGATGGACGCCGCCCTTGCCTACGCCTCCTTCCTCGACTACAAGCAGATGCCCGACGCCGCCGAGCGCATGTACCAGTGGGCGCTCACCCTAGCCACCGCGACCGCCCCGAGCGACCCCCCCCTCGTCGACCCCCGTACCTACACCATCAACGATAAGAAGACGACGTTGCCGTCCGATAACGTGCTGGCCGTCCTCACCTCCATCGCCCTCCACAAGGCGCGCAACGACGACGTCAACGCCGCCCTCCCCATCTTCATCTCCGTCCTCCGCGCCCGCCGCGCCCTGCCTCAGGTTCCTCTCCCCGGTCAAGAACGTCCCGCAGAGACGCCCGCGACGCTGTGGCAGAGAATATGGAACCTAGCACAGGCGCCGAGGTATCCCGCTCCACCAGACGACGGCACCCGCCCGCCCTGGCGCCATCCGAAAGAACTCTGCGAAGAGGCAGGGCTGAACCTCTACATTGGCGAAATCATCTACGCCGCCGCAGCCGCCGTAAAGGATTCCTCTTCCAAGAAGCAGGCCGCGAACCGCGACGAAGGCCTCGCCTGGACGCGCGACGCAGTCGACCTCGCCGAGGAGCAGCTGCGCAAGCTCGGCCCGATCGGCGGCGACAAGGAGGCCCGCAAGACGTGCCGCGAGTGTCTCGGCACGGGACTGCAGAACTGGTCTGCCATGGTGGCCAGCTTGGCTAGGGAAGAGGAGGCCAAGAACCAGGCCGCGCCGGCGAAATCCGCGTTTGGGTTCTGGACGGAGACCAAGACCGAGGAGAGCAGGTGGGCGGCGGAGGAGAAGGTCGTCAAGGAGAGGATACGGCGGACCAGGGAGCTGTTGGTGCAGGTTGAGCCGCCTGTTGCTGGGTTGGCTTCGTTGCTTCAGGTGTAGGCGTTGGCTGTTCTGATGCAGATGGCGCTGCGAACAGGGTGTAGTTTGTACAATAATGTTTCGGCAATTTTATATTAATGATACCATTTGCACATTTGATGTCTTGTTTGTCGGATGATGGCAGCGAAGTATTATCAGTCATCACTGATTATGGGATATAGGTACATCGTATTTATTATCTTTACCCATTCACAAGCCACGGCGGCGCTTTCAGCGTGAATGGCAGAGCAAATGTAAGTTGCTAGCTTTTATGATCACGACTAACTGCCTCACGCCAGCTCTCCTGTTAAATGTTTGAGGCCTGATATTAATCATCGTGCCCAACTGAGCATAACGTCCCAGATGCTACCATCTCCTATCCGTCTATGTGACGGCTCATCATCTTCACTCAGGATTCCTCCCAAGCATCGCTCTGCTTCTCACTCTCTTCAACCGCAAGCTTCTGAATACCCTCTAGGACCTGGCAATGCTCATGGTCTTCAAGCGCCATGGCATATCCGATACTCGGCTTCGCAAATTCGGGCATATTCTCCCACTGCTCGTCGAATCCTCCCGCCGCCCACTCCTCCTCTGTCGGCACATGAGGGTCGACGGCGACAACCTCCGGGTGGCGGTAGTCGGGGCCGGCGAGAGCGACCTCCTGGACCCAGTCGAGCATGGGGACGTGGCTGGTGACGAGCATGCACTCGACGAGGTAGACTTCGCCGGAGCTGTAGACTGTGCAGCCGTGCTGTGTGAAGGAGGCCGTGTTTGGATTGCCGCCGGGTTGTGCCACGGGTGTAAGTGCAGGCGCTTCATCTGTGATGTACGCTCGAGCACGGCGAGGGAGGAACTCTTTAAGGGGTTCGTGAGAGAGTTCATCGACGCTGGTTGTGCTACCCAGCAGGGATAAGGTGTTGATGCGGTGACCGAGGGCAGACCACGTGTCGGGTGTGTCTAACACTCTAGTCGCGTAGTCGGCACCGAGGCCTATGCCGATAATGTCGAGGCGAGCGTCTGGCGATAGAAGCGATGGGATGACCTCGTTGAGAACGTATGCAATGTGGGCTTCGGGGGTCTCGTTCTTCGGGATTGAATGATACTTTGGGTTATTGGCGCGGCCGTGGTGAACCATGCTCTTCCTGGGAACGGCCATAGCCGAGGTCGGGCTCAGAGCCTTTTTGCCTTCGGGCCACCACCAGAGCTCACCCGTGTTGGCGATAATGATTCCGGTAGGACCATCGTCGGACGGCGAAGCTCTCTGGCGGTTGATCGCCTGAACGACCGAGACCATGCTACCCTTGCTGATACCGCCTGGGCCGTTGACGACGCGAAGGGCCAAGTTGCCGAGATCCTGGCTGGGCTCGCCAAAGATCACGACCACGCGCGAGGCAGAGGCAAGATCGGCACTCGTGAAGATGGTGACGCTGGGCAAGGTTGGCTCGACGCCGAGAGGTAGCAGGACTTTTCTCAAACCTTCCTTTTCGAGACGGCCGTGGACGATGTCACGGATCGCTTCTGTATGAGGGTTAGGAAGAAGGCGCAATGAAGGTCAACAATAATAGGTACTTGCCATTGAAATGAAAGCGCTGGCGATCATTGACGCGGCCGTTCTTGGTGAGATAGTACTTGAAGTAGTAATTGGGTTCCTTGATGTTGCGGATCTCATCTTGGTCGTTGATGAAATAGCTGGAAATGTTAGCTCTGGTCAAGGCCTACAAAGGTAGAGGCCACAAACCCAAGATCCTTCAAGTTAGATGAGAAGATAGGGTCTTTGGGGAGACCAGACCACCGACGGAGGAACATGGTGGTGGTTGGAGAGAACCTAGGTCGGGAAGACTTGAGGTGTAGAAGGAAAGATGGCTGAGAAGGGGCTTTGTGTTATCGATTTTGAAGAGACGGAGATCGAGGCTGTGATAAGTTCGGTGGGAGAGCAGGAGAGGGACCGAAAAGATGGTAAGATGAAAACAAAACAGTAGCAGTGAACAGGAAGGAACCCCAGGCTCAACGATCCTGGCAAGATCCAGGCCCTCTTGTTGAATGAGAAGGCAACTGCACTCGTGAGACTTCCTGCCTAGATAGACATATGCGAGGCATGCAGAATGGAAAATCGTCCGCTATCACACAGATCCGATCCACACGTGAATTGAGATGTGTTGTACATTGTTTGCCAGTATTTGTATCTGTACATATGCGTCTTAGGGTGCGAACATGCAGCCAAACGCCAATTCCCAAATCGTCTGTGAGCAAGCTCGCGAGCGTAGCATGCCGTCTCAAAGGTACACGAGCCCTTTCGTTGTATCTTACAACAGTGTTCCCCTGCTTTTATTTTTGATAATCATCCTCCGCCGCATCTTCGTCTACCAACTAGCCTTCTTAACACCGGGAATATTACCCTCGTACGCTTGCATACGGAAGTTGAACTGTATTTCTTAGTCAGTCTGCGCGAATCTAAACCCAATTGCGACGAAAAGCCACGTTTTCGACGTACCCTCGTCATCTTGAAGTCGCGGAAGACACCCCTGGCCTTGCCACCCAAAATGCATCGGTTCTTGATCTGCGTCGGCCGGGTGTAGCAGTGCATCTGACCCAGCTGAAGCTGCGCCTCGGCGCGCACACGGCCTGGGAGAGTCGTGTTCTGGATAATGTATCGGAGAGCTTGTCTGTTCCACGAGCTTCATGTCAGTTTCAATTCCATTGGCGTCGTCGGTTTTTAAGGGGATGTAGGAGGCTCGGTGTTGCTGACCTCTCGGGCTCGTTTTGCATAAAGACCTGGCGCTTCGTGTGGTCACGAATCGTCCTGATGTTGACGAAACATCCCAGATCGAGCTTCTTCGCGCGGAACATCGACATTTTGGCGGCGGTTGTGACGTATTGAACGGGGAGTCGCTGATCGTGCAATCGCAAAAGTCAAGCTTTCGAAGCTCGGATTGAAGTTCGCGATGGGTCACGTGGAGGGCGTTATCTTATCTCTCACCGAGCTTCACCGAGCCCACCCAAGGTCACCCTGCCTGGGTACCTTACCTTACCTTAGATCGAGCTCATCCGCAGGCGCTGGCAAGCGCTTTTCAAGAATAATACTTCTGTCAATATAGACTCCATGTGAGCTCACAGAAATAGCATTTTTGGTATTCGATTAGCCGTAAAACCTCCAAGAACGCCAGCCATCATCTCAGGCTATGACTGAACCCCAAACTTTGCAATATGATACAGCAGCGACACGACCTCTCGAAAAACACCAGTGACCCTCCAAAAAGATCAAAGCAGTTCTCATCGTAACCGAAAAGGCAGCGCGCGGATTGGCTGCTATAATTGGTCCAAGAGCTTCTGCCGCCGCCTGTTGATCAACTCTTCTTGCACCTCCTCCAGTGTCGGCAGCTCTTTTCCGTTGCCTGTGTCACCCGCAAAGCCTCCCAGTCAGGCGGTAGTTGCTGCTTTCCGGTCTTTGCCATGTGCGCGAGGGCCTCTTCCTCCTTTGCGAGCTCATACGCCAGCAATTCCGGGTCCTCCTCATCTGGCGCGTAACCGTAGTACGCCGCATCGACCTGTTTCCGCAAGTCGTCCCTCGTCTCTAGAGGCTTCTCATTTGTGGCCTTTGCCTTGGCTGCGTCGAATAGCTCCTTGACTCCGGGCAAGTCTCGCGCGCGTCCAAAATATCGATAGCCTTTCCCGCCTCCTGGTATCTCTCGTCCCTCTTCGTATATCTTGCCGCCTCCACGCATGTAATTAGGTCCACCAAGATTCCGTATTTGCACCTCCCACATGTACTTTTCCCTCATGAGCTTGTTGATTTCATCGTTGAGGTCACGGATCTGATAGTCACTGAGGGCGGTGTCTTGAATCTTGGAGACCTTGCGCGAGATCTCCTTCAGCACTTGGCCGCGCCACCTCGCATGACGGTATCGAATCGACTTCGGTGATCACTCTCGGTCGTCTTGTCCGGCCGATGTCGATAATGCCCAGGTCCGCTGCTTGCGCTTCGCGAAAGCGAAACAGCATGGACTGCGCCTTTTCCGAGTTTCGCGCCTGCGCCTATTAGCATCCTCCAAGTTCAACATGCACGGGAGATTCACATACCATTGTGAGAGCTTTGGCGACGGGATAGAGCGCTGAGCTTCGAGCGAATGTGGTTTGGTTTGGCTTTGGAAAAGAGAGTCGCACGGCAGGGCACCGTCGTCTTCTGAAAGCTTTCGGTCGTCAATGTTGCGCGCCTGGCACGGCCTTCCCACATCCAATCAGCAGCCTCCAACAGAAATATGGGACCTTCCACTGCGGGCGAGGTAAGGTAGGTACGCTGTGCTTTGTACACTAATCGTACAGCACTGCTCCTACCACCACTGAACCACCACCAAGTGACGTGCGAGCTTCACACACTTTTGGAGCTGTCCAACTCCACGACAAGCTCAAAGCACCACACCCCCATCACCATGCGCCTTACGACGCTGCTTCTCGCAGCTACGTCGCTAGTCGGCGCTGTGTTCGTCGACGAGGTTGGCGACATCGACTACCACCACGAGCTCCGTCCCCAGGTCGAGACCACCTATTCCACAAGCCTCGGCGCGACGATAAGGCTTCACTACTCTACACCCTCAGCGATGTTGGCGTTCTCGGAGCCGTCAATCCCAGCAACGGCGCGGTCGTCTGGCGTCAATTCCTGACGGGCAATATCACGAATGGAGGCGGACACTTGCGAGCGGCCGAGGACGAGGATTGGGTTGTGTCTGCGTACGGAAGCTCAGTGCATGCCTGGAACGCCTTGTCCGGCAGGAACGCCTGGTGGATCGACTTCGTGGGCACCATTAAGGATCTGGAAGTCATGGAGATGACAGAAAACGGACGCAAGGATGTGCTGGCGCTTTTCGAAGAGGAGGATGGCTCTACCGTCCTGCGAAGACTCAACGGTGCTGACGGAACTGTGGTGTGGGAGAACAAGGATGCGTCCAAGACTATCCCGCTCCAGGTATCCAACAATATCGAGAAGATCTTTGTTGTCAGCCTTTACGGAAACGACGGTATGTGGGCCGTGAGGGTGTCTGTCCACGACACTCTCACTGGAAAGCGCATCGACGACATCAGCCTCGGCAGCAAAGGCGACGTTACGGATAAAAGAGACGTCATGTTCGTAGGCGCCAACTCCGCGTCTCCCATCGTCGCCTGGCTCGATAGCGATCACACGAAGCTCAAGGTCAACGTTCTGGGCACCAAGTCGAAGCAGGAGTTTGCCCTCCCGTTCCCCAGGACCCTCGATGTAGCTATCCATGCCCCGCATCACCTCAACGCGGAGCCGCATTTCTTGGTGCACAGCAGATCCTCCGACAGCCACAAGGGCGAGGTCTACCACGTCAATATCAAGAACAATGCTGTCACCAAGCACCACGAGCTGCCGGTGCTCCCTGGACTGGGCGCGTTCTCGACTAGCTCGGAGGGCGCCAACGTGTGGTTCACGCGCATCACCGAGGAGGAGGTTATCCTTACCTCGTCAAGCTCACATGCCATCCTCGGAAAATGGGCCTTCAAGGAAGGAAATGAGAGATTCGCATCTCTTCACGCCGTATCCGAGGTTATCAAGAAGGCTGCGGACAACTTTGCTGTCCGCTGCGCCGCTGTTACTACGCTGGATGACTGGATTCTGGTCCGCAACGGCGAGGAGGCCTGGGTTCGCCCTGAAGGTCTTACCGGAGGTGTCGCTGCGGCCTTTGCAGAAATCCCCGAAAGTGAGGACCTCGCCAAGACCCTCGAAGCCGAGGCACACGACAACGTCCTGTCTGCTTACATCCACCGTGTCCAACGTCACTTTGATGATCTCGCCTATCTGCCCGACTACCTTGCCTCGATCCCCCAGCGTCTGGTCAGCAGCATCACCGGAGCTGAGATTACCTCAAAGACAGAGGGTCTTTCTCGCGATGCTTTTGGTTTCAATAAGATCGTGGTTCTGGTGACCAAACGCGGCAAGCTTTTCGGTATTGATATCGGCAAGCATGGCAAAGTCATCTGGAAACTTCACGCTGTCGACATCGCCCCTTGCAACACCTGGGATATCAAGGGCATCTTCGTTGAGGATGCCAAGTCCACCGTCACTGTTCGAGGCCACTTTGGCGATTACGTTATAGCCAAGACAGACACTGGCAAGATGGTTGACTCCATGCCTGAAGGCTCCTGGGTGCAAACTCAAGCTGCCGTCATTGTCGATAGCCCTTCAGGACCATGGCTCGCCCCGGTTGGAGTTGGAGGTGCCATCGCGTCCCCTGTTGCATGGATACCCACACAGACTGTCGTCGTTCGTGGCTTGAAGGGCGAGCTGAAGGGCTTAACCTACATCGAGGAGGAAGGCACAGGCAAGGAACAGGTTGCTTGGGAGTTCTCTGCGCCAGCGGGCTTTGAGATCGTCAACATCGCAATCCCGTCCACGATCCCATTGCTTCCATCGGACGTGTTCTCGGCGACAGACGCGTCAAGTACAAGTACCTGAACCCCAACACCATTGTCGTTTCTGCCTACAGCAACGCCAAGTCTTCTCTCAACGTCTACCTGATCGACTCGGTCTCAGGCGCTGTCCTCCACTCCACTGCTCATGAGGGAGTTGACGGCAACAAGAACATCGAGTGCACACTCGCTGAGAACTGGTTCGCCTGCTCGTTCTTCGGACAGTACTCTCTCAAGGATGATGCTGGTCAGCCTCTCTCTGGACAAACCCTGAAGGGCAACCAGATCGTGGTCTCCGACTTGTACGAGAGCGAGTACGCCGATGATCGAGGCCCGCTTGGTGACGCTGCCAACTTCTCCTCTACCGAGCCTGTCGATACCCCGACCGGCGTGCCCCTTCCCTCAGTGATCAGCCAAGCTTGGATCTTGTCTGCCCCTCTGGCCGCTCTTGCTGTCACGCAGACCCGCCAGGGCATCACCAGCCGCCACGTTCTAGGCTACCTGCCAGAGTCTCACGCCATTGTCAGTCTTCCCCGCCAGCTCCTTGAGCCAAGACGTCCAGTCGGACGTGACCCGACACCCGCGGAGATGGAGGCGGAGGGCTTGATCAGGTACCACCCCGCCATTGAGATCGACCCCAGACAAGTTATTACCCACCAGCGCGACGTCATTGGCGTGCAGAAGATCATTACCTCGCCTACCATTGTGGAGAGCACCAGCTTGGTCTTCTCCCGGCGTCGACGTCTTGGAAGCCGTGTCGCGCCTAGCTTTGCGTTTGACATCCTCGGCATTCAACAAGATTAGCCTGATTTCGACTGTCCTTGCGCTCACTGTTGGTGTTGCCGTGTTGGGGCCCATTGTAAGTTTTTTGCTCCCGCAAACGTTTTGGCAGATCATTTGCTAACGAGAGGAATAGGTTCGCAAGAAGCAGACCAACTTGCGTTGGGCGTAGATAAAAGTATTGTATGATATCATGATATAATAGAGTCGTTTGAGTTTGTGCAATGATGTCCCTGCATGTGTCCTTACCATCACCTTTACTTGCTGTCTACAAATGGTATTGTCGACTCAGAGTCGCGAAAATGGGAAAAAGTTACCATTAACAATGCACCACTGTATAAGGCCTCTTGTGACTGCCTAGAGTTGCGCCTAGATGTAGACATAGTCTCATGCTTTACTGTAGGACGTGTTGATGGACCAGCTTCCACAGCCCGTTCTGCGCGATGCATAAATGTGAGGTGAAAACTCTAGACCGTCATGAAAAGGGGCATCTCAACTGTCAATATGAAGCCGGTCACGATTTGACAACTTGGTGGCCTGCCGGCTAGACATGTTCATCTCTACGTGCTTCTACATAATCATGAACGCATGAACTATTGACTTTGGGAAGTGTTCAACAAAGTCAGTGGCGTCCTAGACGTTGCCAAAAGCTTTAAGCTTCAGTGTTGATTCGTGGGTCTTACTGCTTTTCTTGGGAGGGAGTCTGGGAACTAGATCCGCGAGCCGCGTCGATATTCTGGATCTATCTATTGGCAAAAGTGAAGCTTGCTGTGAGGAGTAGTTGCCAGGATGACGTTCTAGTGGAATTGGCAATGAAATCGGCGAGAAGATTGAGGTATATGAGGAGATGCTTGAGCTTCAAAACTCCATTGTGTGGTATTGATACATGGTCCATCATTCGCGCGCGAGCAGTGTTCCCGCCGAGTTCCCTTCGTCTTGACACCTAGCAACAGCGCCGCACTCGACACAACTCCAATAATCAACTCAGTCAACTTCTAAAAACCGGCCCTTAATCGAATTTGAGGCCAAAGTGAATTTGCGCCGTTAAGTACTGAGCTATCTCGCAACTCAGTAAAGTTTCGTATGCTTAGGCTTAACCCTAAAAGCTGAGTAGGAACAATAGGCTATGGCTGTGTAGAAAATAAATGCCGAGCTCCTCGAAAGTTTTTTTACTTAAATAATTGGTTTGGCACTCCAAGTAGATGTTTCGAGATGCTGCTTTCACTTTCACTGATGTTCAATGTTCACATGGACTATGACTACCTGTAGGTTCAGAGAATACCGAACCACGACGTGCCGGCCATTTCTGTGGATACTTTCAACATTGGACGACGTGACTCTTTTGGTCGTTCCATTTTGCTCAATTATAGCTGCTTTCTGACCTATTCATGCCAATTGGTGCGTGCCACGAGTCGTAACAGTCATCAACGTTGTAAATCGTTGGACGGAATGTGTCGAGAGATATGGCGCACAGCAATGAGCACATATTCTAGGTTTGTAGTAGCTCAAAGTAACCGATCTAGAACAAAGAGGTAAAAACTAATCTACACAATGCGATCTATGGGAGAATCCACATGGTAGAATGTCTCGTAAGTGCTAGTAATTTTCTGTCTCGGGACAGAAAAAATGTATTATTGTTGACAGATTCCAAGAGCACCGCCCAAACTCCATAAATCAAAAAATTAGAAACGAATTCATAATAAAGCTGTTCGACTCTATCAACAAATTTAATATGCATACAGAGCTGAACATCATGCACTGAATCAATTTATGAGCGCTTCAGCGCAAAGCAAATCACCGTTAGGCAAGGTGGGAACAATAGTATCGCAATATCAGTGAGAGTTGCTGCCTCGACACACGAGTAAGTGTCTGCCATTATCTCTTATGCCCTAGCAATGCAACGCAAAAGGCTCCTTTCTACTTTTGCTACCGACATCATGTGGGTAGCCAAATTAAGCTTAATTCATCGTCGCGCTGTCTGACTATGGTCCATCTGATGTCGGCATTGACTTTCGTCTGAACGACCAGCCTGTCTTTCCAAAACAAACATCAGATGTACGCTGAATCTCTCTCATCACTCAGCAAGACTTTGCATTTTAGAAACATCATCACAGCCTACTATTTCCTCTATTTCGGTGAGATCCTACACAAGGCTCCTTTGTAAGTGTAAAGCATTGTCTACACTGCTGAAACCGAACTTCGCGACATCACACGATACAATCGCGCCTGGCGTCTACGAAAGCAGCTGGATGCGCTATTTTCTCTCATAAGATAAACAACACGCCCGAGGCAATATGCGCTTGTTAGGACCAGGCATGCTAACGGTGTAGCCTTCTTTTCAGGTGAGGCGGAATTAGGATGAATGCGATGAGGATCGAGGCTGGGGACGCCCAACCACCCACGCTATCAAGCAGGCTGTATTGGAATTCTTCGAATATCTTAATGCAAGTGCCTTGATTCAAGCGCTTCAAGTGTTGGTTGCTTTCGCATATTGCCTTTCATCGATATGCAGTGATACACATGATTGGACGTTTCCAAAGATTCTCAGTCCGGCGGGCATAGACCTTGTGACCTTTTCCAATAGGGCACACCAAGACTGAACCTGAGAAAAGACCTCATCGGTGTCATCTAATGTGGCCTGGCGCATTAGTGTCCATGTGGTTGCCTTGTATAGTGGAGAAGCTGACGATGTTATGTGGACATATGTTCTAACCTCAACAGATCTATCGAATCCAACGCCCCAAATGTGCGGCTTCTGTGTTGGCGGTGCAGCAAGAACCCTCGCCAATGACCGCACTAAATATCATCGAAGGTGGGGGGTTTAGATAAGTGAAATGGTACATCCCAAGTGGCACATTTGTCTGGGAGCATTTCCCTCGAGAATGTTCACTTATTATTTTCTCAGTGAACAGTCGTGGGATTTGTGTTGAATTTGAATTCCACTGCAGTTCAATATTGTCACTGACTATTTTATCTTGTCCAACTCACAGCGTCGCAGTTGGACACGGGCCACTTCAGACAAGGGCCCTTGCCATGTTTGATGAAGAGCTGGATGAGTTAGGCAGAGAAATACGGTGGCTGGCGAGATATCCCTGATTTCTCATATGTATCTTCACCGCTTCCAAGCACAGCATTCTGAGGGAGGAGCTAACCGGTAATCTTGGGCTTTCCTCTTAGGTAGTGATGGTCCGGTTCAATGAACGAATGACAGAGCACATGATTAACTGGTCAAGCGCGCTAATTACTAGCATCTTAAGACTGTGCCGTTATTACTAGGTCGGACTATTATGTCACCAAGAGTGACTCATGACTCACCGCCATGTTGAACAGGAAAATAGAGTAACACCGCTCATTTCGAGAACACAGGTGTGTTATGAACGCCTGAGATGTCAATGTGAATTCGAGGGATATGGATGGAGGCCTGCAACCTGGTTGCCTGCTCGAAAAGCACAGGGTGCATTTTCGTCCGTATAAATGGTCTCACATGCTTTACCTCGATGTGAATTCTATTTCACACGATTCACGAATCAATCTATAGTGTCTTGATACTTCGATGTGAGGGACTGTAGCAACTGGTCTCACAAAGCTCGAGTTTTTATACTTGAGGATGTCTTCAATCAAAGATCACGCCAGAACGGCCTTGTGAACCCCATCATGTACTACGGAACGTTGTTCGGTCAGGTTTTCGCGTTCAACAAGCTAGCAATTTGTGTGATCAAGCGTCTATGAGAGCGTACCAGGTTGAGTAACAATTTGCAGTCGTGTAACCTCAGGCCGAAGTCAGACAAGAACGCCAATATCAATTCCTACGCGCATGTATACAAATTTGCATGTTGACTGCTGTATCACGCTGAGGATGCCCCTCATGTTCGCATCAGAGCACCTCATGCTGTGGACCGCCAGGTTACTGTTAACTAAGCAACCAAGTCCTGGGTCAAGGACATTTGATACGCTATCTAAAACGTCATGTCTTGATTAACATGCCTGATCGATGTGTGAGGCAATGAAAGGCAGACCAGATGCCTTGCGAATCCTCATCCTTCACGTCCTCCGAACCCAGACGCAATGTTCTGGAGACGAATCGGAGGTTCGCCACCTGGACTCCTGTCCAATGTCAGGGTGATCAATTTGGCTGCCTAGACTTCCCTGTCATAATGATCTGATCCTGTCTCTCTTATCTTTCACCGAAGGTATGCAAAGCTATAGTAGCCACGTGAAAATTTTGAAGATCCCAAATACATAAGGTAAGCCAAGGTCCATGACCTCGTTTGCCTTACCTCGCCTGAGTCTTTCCTTCCTTCTTTTTGCCTTATCAGATGGCTTCTGTAACACTTGGCGACTTAGAAGATGGCAGTGCGAGGAGACTCATCAACTCTCACTCCCGATCAAGGAAACGTAAGTGCCGACGCCAGTGCTCAGGCTAATACGAGGGAAACCCACTGAGAGTCCCGGATCGAGCCGGGGCTATCCCGGTCCGGCGGGTACCGGGTGAGGCGGGCTGGCGCGCGGAGAAGCACGGCAGACCCGTTGAAGAATGATACCTACCAATGCTTCAGGGTTAAGGCGGGCTCTCCCGTGCCTTAAGTTCAGACGTACATCCAGCGCGCAAATTCCCAGCAATGGAAATGGGCTCCGTCGATGACCCTGAAAACCTAGAGGTCCGACAGGCCTTGGAATGCCACTTACCGACCAATGGGTACCTAGTAGACTGCCAGATGCTCTAATGCCTAATGCCTGCGCCTTCAACCATTGGGCTCTCTGCATCAAATAATCCTGGTTGTTTCTTGCCATGCGTCAGCACTCCAAGATCCTCCCTGATGATATTCAATATTTGCATGGCTTATGGAGCTGAGCTGTACCATCTGAAGCCTACGTATTATGCAGCCTATGTTTCGTTGGGCAAGTATGCTTTCGCAGAACCGAATCAGCTTAAACCGTCGGTGATGTCTTTCATGCATCAGTATCGAATGGTGGTGAGGAGATCAATAGCGCCAACAAAGATAGTAAGCAGTACGCAGTCATCACAACAAGAAGAAGCGTGGAAGGTAAATGCCCCGCCGGCCTAGAGCTCACGTGCGCAGCCGCATCCTCGCATGAGCAAAAGATTGGATGTCGAGCGCGCCACCCGATGTAATTAGTTGACCTATGATTTGGGCGTAAGCCCTACAACTT